GTTTTATTGCTGTTATAATAGCATCATGTAGTCGACTTGATTTATCGATTAAAAAAAATGGAAATGAAAAAAAAAATCAATACAAATGATAAACAAAACAATCATCACGTCTGCAAATATAACCACATGTGACTTCTCCAATCCATTTGATGAACTGACATACCAGCAAGTACTTCACATTAAGTATTACCATAAATATAAATGTTGTAGTGTTGGTCTTATAGTATATTTGTATAGTTACAGTCGGTCTTTATATTTAAATGTCCTAAACAGACCAGTGTTAGACCCGTACGTGATGGTTTCCCAGCTAGAAACTAACGAAGATAAGGTTTAGAAAATGATGACATATTAAAAGAAATTCTCTAAAGTTTCAAATCCGGAAAAAAACGAGGCTTTATCTGTGGTTTGACTCTGTAGGGATAATTAAAAATTTCTCCTCTTTCAAAGCACTAATTTCTCCCGAGGACATCTGTGTGATAGCTGCTCCCTTATTGGTTTGTTACACATTTTCACCAGGGACGTTGTGCTGCCCTGTACCAGCAGCTCAGCATACAGAACGGAAGCAGACACTTGCCACAGCAGCACTATCCCTCCACTTTGATTTATACCTGCTTCACCTTTCTGCTACAGCCATTTGTAGTTTTTGTTTTGGACTTGGAGTTTTGGCTAAGCTAACCTTGCTAAGTCGTTGGCAGTGAGCAGCTTCCTTGCGCTTTCTTGTTACTCAGAGAAGCATCCAGCACATTCTACTTTGAATGTCTGAATAGACATCTTATAACACACGGTATCATGTGTATTTGTTCTGAAATTGAACCAATGTGGTGTCTAAATGAAACTCCATTAAAACCCTCCTAAATTGTTTTTTTCCTGATTGGATGCCCAGGAAGTTCCACTTTGAGAAAAGCGCTCATTAGCAGACAAATACAATAATTAGTTTGGGAATTAGTGAACCTTGAGGAGCATATGAAAAGTGCAGTGTTGTCTCTCCCCTTTTTTGTGCTTTTTCTGCACCACAGTGGAGCAGGGATTCATCATTCGTGTCTGATGGACCGAGGTGCAGTGCAGATAAAATGCAGATATTTACCTGGAACTTTGTTAGCAGACGTGGCAGAAAAGTTTTGAAATCACACAGATGCAACTATTTTAATTGTTTTTCTAGAACCGATTTCTTTGCCTGAAGTAAAAGTACTATTTTTCATTTTTTGTTAGCATCTTTATTTAAATCCATCAGTAAAAACACTTCATTTGTATTTCTTTTGCAAGTGTGTCACAACAAATATTTTTATAATAATAAATAATAAAACATATATAGGATGGGATAACATTTATCATAACATTTATCATTCAACAGGGCAAATTTCTTTTTCTTTTTTTTTTGCTTTGCTTGCTTAGTCCTGCTTGTCGAAAGATTCTATAATGGGATTGGAAGTGCTGCCTCTGAAAAGGTATACTTTTAAAGCAGGCTCGTGACATAAAATATTCACCAAAGCACTTTAAAGATGTTGTACCAATGTGAAAAACATGTAATTGTTTCCAAAGTGCAGTTATTTTACCACTGGGCTTCGCGTCATGGCATTTAGAAATGCTACTATAGAAAGGTCTGATGGACCTGGGTGCGTTTAAGATCTGAAATGAT